AGTTTCAAATCACAGCTGCAGAATTGGACTCCATTCTAGGGATTGGCGCCTCAATAAATATTTGTACAAAACATTTATTAGTCAATAATGATATTGTTGACTCTGTTAGTAACGTGAGTGGATATATATTTGAATCACTTAATTTATTAACAAATTCGTTCATTTCTTTACTGTATTTCACCCCTATATTTAAACGTTCATTCATTTGTATACTCACTTTGGTTAACTTAAGTTACAATAAAAAATGCCATTGACTTCTATAAATGTTATACCTCACAAAATGAAAATTCTTAAATCTCATCAGAGAAACAATATGTTATATTGACTCAGCTCTGCAAACATCATTTAGCACTGTAAATTTAGGTGAATCTTGAAAGCTCCATCTGAATTAGTGAACCGTCTGACAATCCGAGTGACTCAGAACGCATTAAGAAGAAAGTTGAAAAAAAAACCGAATCATGACAAATTCTACAAATTTTGATGGATGGTGAAAGCTAAAGCTATGAGAAACAGATCGATAATGGACTCAGGGAAAAAACATACTCAATAACAAAAATGCTTAATGTGATTATGAATCAGAAAGGTTTACCAAGATAAATTTAGAACCAGCAGAAACATTTACCAGAATTAGCGTTTACTCACTCTCCGTTTAGATGAAAACGTTTCGTTTTTGATTTACAAAACTATGACATCTACATGGTCTAAAGAAGTCCAAGTTCAACAGTCAAGCAGACGAATTCATAAAATAAATCAATCAGAGTTCCGAAATAAAAAGAGTCATGTTTTGCAATCTTTCTATACGTATAAATTTTCTAACATTAAGCTTCCGGGAATCATGTGATGTAACCATTTTCTTGAGGCTTTTATAAAGCAGTGGTTACAATAGTAATAATATAAAGAGACGATTAATTTTCATACGTTGATAAAAAAAAATTAGTTTAGTCAGTGTACGGTGACATTCACTTTGCCTTTCATAGGCTTTTGTTTGGAAATCAAGTCCTCATCGTGAATCACAGAGAAAGTGCTTTTATTCTAGATTTATACGACAAAATTATTTTTAAAATTCAAGAAGATGAAGTTTGTCAGCACTATCAGATAGTATTTCGGGCTTCTTTCAGTACTTTCTACCATAAAGTGAATTGATAAATCCATTATAGTTCATTAGGTAAAAAGTCTTTATCTTGAATTCATACTGGTTTATAACATCTTAAAAATAATTTTGTTAAGGTTGAATACATATATACTTCAGATCTATCACCATTTTTTGTTTATGTGAGGCAACATGAAGTCGAGTTATGAAATCGCTTTCTGAAGTAGTCAGAGAATTAAACAATTTTTAGACCAGTTTTTGTTTTAATTTCATTTTCATACGAATACTAAAATTTTGATCACTTTTCCTTACAGTTACTGTTTATGAATCCAGAAACAATTTTAGAAATTTTGAGTCACAATCCAGTAACAAATGGATCTCCCTTCATTCAGACTAGTGCACTTGTTTGTTTATTGGAATCATTTTACGGACCACTGTCTCATCTTTTATGGCCGGATATATCTGAAAACTCGAACGAGAACTATTACTGTGAAGTGAGCATCAGTAGTTTCCACAAATCGTTGTTAATTACGCGACTTCCCTACTGAACGAGCCAACCAATTTTAGATCATTTGGTGTGATAATTATTGAAATACAGTTCGATTCCCTAAAATTGAGATTGCCTTTCTACCTACCACGGTCATTCAGGATCTTACTTAAATTAGTAGGAGACTCGATGGTCTAGCGGCTTAGTAGTAACTTATTTAGCTATATGACTAACTAGCATCTTTTAGGAATGATTTCTTTTCTGATGAATGCTAAGAGTTCATAAGGTTTCGTGTTGACAGTATTCAGCGTTCTGTAGTGTCAAGCTGAGAGTTTCACTTCATTCTGCTAGCTTGTTTTCAACTAAAGTGATTAAACATGGTTTCAAGCGTGTTAAGAAATGATCTCAATCAATTATGGGTATGTCGTCTCTTTGTTTATCAATAACAACTAGTAATTTTACCCCAATATTTGCGTTCTTGAATAGTACTGTGTTTTTATTGTGTCGAATTTAACTAATTCCTGTTATATTTCTCGCAGCTTTTCATGTGCTTGAATACTAAAATCATGGACATAACCCACAGATTTATTCAAGAACTGTCAATCGAAGTGTATGGTTGTCTGATTAAATATATCTGTTTAACTACCAAAAAACAATCATTTATCAGTAAGTTATCTATATTTGCTTACAATGCACAGATATGTTCTTATTGACTAGTCCATGGAGTAATATTATTCTTGAACATTTACAAATAGATGGTTCAGTAAATAATATTGAAAACTTGTCATCTTTCCTTGCTTTTGCCAACGTGGTAGGTATTTCTACGTTTTACACCACATAACCTTAGCTACTATCCACGAAATGTCCTGCAATTTGTTCAATTATCAATAAAAATCAGTTGCGGGAATTATTACTAGCTTATATACATGATAAGGATTTGTATGACTCAATTACGAAGACTTATTTAGGAAGTATATGTCTAAAGGTAAGTAAAGGAAATTTAATTATTCTAATTTTATCGAAATTTAAGGTCGCTTCTCCAGACTTTGAAGTTCTAGGTTTCAGGGAGCGGTTATGCTTAGAAGTTATGATTGCATCAGACAATTTGCAACCTACTCTCAGTATTTCAAATCGCTTTAATTTGTTCTATAAAGAAATATTTTGTTTATGAACATTGAGACTTATGAGTTTGTTATATAGCCTCAAAGATTATATCATTAGTAAATAAAACGTATTTCTCGGCAATCCAAATCACATTTCTTTTTATGTAATGACAATTGGGACCTTCATAATTTTTATTCAGATACTGTATGACGAAGTAGTTTCAAAACGTCTCTTCGTAACTTCATATGATTGAATTTTGTTATGTATCTTTTAATCTATAATAAATAGGTTGGGAGTTTTCAAGCATGACATCAATTAACTTCTAATCCATTATTTTGATCTTTCAATCTAGTAGACCAAAAACCTACCGGTTTAGGTTGTTCTCAGAAATCACACGGTTTATTAAAGCTTAAAGTTATATGATTTATTCTCGCTTACACTTATTCTACACTGACAATCGCTATCTATTCAAAACTATAGTTAAAACAAATACAACAATCAGAAAGAACTGTAGTTATTTCCTACGTTTTGATGACACTATGAAAATGATGGGCATGCCTCGATTTCACAGTGTACCACTTACAAATACTAGATTTCTGAAGGTTTCTTACAACTTTTTGAGGCACGCTAGTTTACTGTAGTGGAAGGCGAGTTTGACGTTATACGTAGATTCTTACGCAAGTAATCTTACAGTGTGTAAGAAACAGCGCTTGGGAAGCGCTAACGAGCTGAAAACAACACCTGAGCCCGGAAGCTGTTTCAAGTGATAACCGGAGGTTGATGGAAAGCCAATTAGTAATATCCAAGGTCTTGAACGGTTACTAGAGTTTTTCATAAAGCAGCCCAGCTGGCCCATTATTCACAGAATCGCCAATTAAAATGTCTTGTCATCCCAGATCGGTGACAACTGATCAACCTAACGAATCGAAGGTTCTCAAAGTACTCCAACTTCTAAAGCGCCACAATTCACCGGGCCCAGATGACCTACAATCCCTCCCTTCGTTAGGTGAGGGCGAAATTTTGATCAGGAAACTGACCGAGTTGTTTGGAAAGGCTTTTGAAATAGTGTTCCGAAAATCGTGGGACGAAGTGATAGTGTTCATCAGCAATACTTAATGAAGGCTAACCGTCGTTATGTTTTTGATATTAGGGTTCCCGTCAATCTGTTGCAAAAAAGAACTGTACTCTACGATTGCATAGATCAGTAACCTGGAGGAAAACTTCTCGGTAACCATACGATATCGTCTTACTATGATATGAGACAAAAGCTATCCAATTCGCACTTCTTCTGTTGCAAATCCGTGTCCGTAACTATGAGATTTACTTTGCACGTTCCGAATACAACACATTTCTACAAGACTTAGAAAGCTGTACTGTCACTCATACTTGGTGGTGAACCGCAATATATGTTCGTGTGTATGGTAAGCTGTGCGAGTGATGATGATGGCGTGATCGATGAGATCAACCTACTTATAGTGAAATTCAGAGTGGATTATGCCAAGCTGATTCATCTTTGGCGCCTTCATGATGTTAGTGTGACTGAAATATCCGGTCTACAACGCGTCGAGAAGAGCGATCCTGCCCCGTGATTGTGAAACCTGACCTTTCCTAGCTGAAGATGTCCGGTGACTCTCTGTTTTCGAAGGAGTGGTGACATTCCATGGCAACACCGTGTTAGCAATGCTGAGGTTCGACAATGTGTATCCGGGATCAGTGATGACAATTTAGTGTCACCATCTTGAAACACTGACCTCGGTGGTTTGGACATGTGTTGCGAAGATCATCTGAGCGATTTTCATGTTGTGCTTTATTTTCGGACTCTGGGCGAGGTACAACATTGGGAGAAGTGGTCATTTCACAACACAATGTCATAGTATGAATGAAAACCGTACGAGACTGGGACATTTCAGTTCCTCACTGCTCCCTGGTTAGGATTCTAAGGATTATACAACTTAGTGGCTTGAGACATTACCAAATGTGAGTGGAAACAGAAGCCAATGGAGATCCTGCAGTAGCTTTCTTTTACATTCTTCATATAGAAAATTGAGAGGACGTGGCTTAACTGAGAGATGTGTTGCTGGTTGTATTTTTAACTGAACTATATATTCTATCATATACTATTATCGGTCACTCATTATTATTAATATTATTATCCCTAATCATTTGTTTATTTTTGATTGTACTTCCTCTTCCTCACCTACCTCTTGACAATTCCATTTCACTATTGTTTAGCGCATATTTTGTTGCCCAGGTGTACCGATATTGGTGTACCTAACAAAATATATGCTTTGAAAACTGACGATTTTAAAAACTAAGAAGGAACAAAAATCCCAAATTTATTACGAACATATCAAAATCATAACTTCATAAAAAAGATTAAAAAACAAATTAGGTAGATGAAAACACAACGTTATATAGAACAATTAGTGACAGCTGCATGTTTAAATATAAATATGTGGAAGCAAGTTTGTCTGAATTATTCTATGCGTTTATCATGATCATCATTATCACAGCATAGACAATCAAATGCACCATGTATCTTGTATTAATTTTATAAATGTATCACAGGAATCATTTATGTTTTCACCTAGAAAATAGTTTTGAGCGCACTCACTTGATGGAAGCAATGAACATAAATCCATATAAGCTGCATCTGATCTTAACTGATCAACAGGACATTCTCCTAAAGTAATCGAAACAGCTTGATAATATACTTCGAATTCTGTATACTCTAGGCGTTTTTGAACATGAACGAATTTTTCGAAAATTTTCAAAACATCCGGTAGTGAATGAGCTATATTAGTACCTGCGAACATTAATGGAAATTTCATAACAATGAAACATTATTGTTGTGTATAATTAATGCTTTTTAATAAGTAAATGCATATAGTAATTGTGAAATTTAGGAAACTCCAGAAACGGTAAAGAAGATAACCAATAATACGAGCATTTTACACTTTCTACATTTGGTGAAGCAAACAAAATGTAATCTGTGAAGGCATGGCCTACACAAAGTTAGGACAACTGAGCACTTCAGAAGTCGTGCTCATAAGATTTTACATCCGACTCAAAATGTTAAGGAAAATTGTACATCTCTACATACATCATCCCGAGTATGGTAGATTTATCCTTGATACCCTTCATGTTACTTTCGTATTTCTCAGAATATTAGTAATGGGACTTTCCGTCATTAATAAAGATTTCTGTGTAGACAGATATTTTTACTTGAGTGTTTTGTTCAAATTCCTAAAACGCTTTTAGACTTATATGAATGGTAACGGAAAGGAAACCATCTTGCCATTTGTTCCATATTTAAATCAAAACCTTATGAAAACAAATTGAAACTAAAGTTTAAAGGAACCAGTACAGTGTTCTTCATTAGAACTAGATATCACATTTTATACAATTGCAGAAACATAACATGTTCAATGCATTTGTATTTATTTATGCTGAAAGTGGTTAGTTTAGTTTAGATTGGTAAAAGTTTGTTAGTAAGAGTGCAGTTGCACCCTTAGTACCGTTTATTTGCCTCATTAATTAAAAGAGATTTATTTACTGTATAAGGAAGAATGACAAACGCCACACCGTTTTTGAAAAACCAAAAGAATTTAGAATTTACCCAGTTGATTCACAGCCCATTTAGGAGTATTGAAAAATCGTTTAATATCCAGTAATTGGATATGACCAAGTCGATTTGGATCCATTTTTAAAAATACCTACATGATTGAACCAAGAAATAATGAAGTGTTTAAGAGTAAATTGTTATTATAAAACTAGGAATTCGAAAACAATTATTAGATGGTCAGCTTAGAAGGACACATGGAATAAATAATGAAGCATTTCCACGTCAAAATATTGTTTAAATTGTTAGAAATAGATGAGATTAGTTGATTTACGTAATAAAACAAAAAATGGATTGTAGATGTAGATGTATTCCAAAGCATTATCTATTGAAACAAACAAGATATTTGACTTTTCTAACATATAAACGAAGCTTAAAATAACTGAGGAGGATCTTAATCCATTTACGATACATAAATCGTGTTTCAAGGTATAATAATTCAGAACGCTAAAAATGTACAAAACTATGATTGTTATTAACTTCTGTGAGAATATAAATATCAAAGCTCCTTCATCGTTTTGTCAATTATGAACCAAACATAGATATTAAAATACATTTTACTTTCATCTGAAAATATTATCTACCTTTACGAAAATCATATGGAACCGAACCCATAACCTTCAGATTCCGTGCCAAACACGGCACTCTTAGGAAGTGACTAATAATCGAATGGTCAATATTTCCAAACATCTTTATACATATATATTACAAGTGTACTAAACAGATAAAAGTGTGGTGAACACACTGATGTAGCGAATAGTAACTGAAATCTGTTTATTCATATAACTATCGCATACAAAACAATGCTGAGAGATATTCTAAACTGTGATAACTAACTGTAGTTTTGGGGTGGTATTACAAATTACTAATAGTACTAATTGAACTAAGACAGACAAAACGTAACTAAGATGTCGCGTTTGAAGTGAACAGAATGGAGTCGTACTGTATTATTATAACCGATTAAAACACGAAATAAAACGTTTGATTGCGCAATAACCGAATTAATCATTCATCACACTAACCTATCTGTGAAGAGTTAATTGTAAGATAAAATAATCTGGTTTTCAAACATTAGTATTGAGTGATTACAGTAGTCCAGAATTTGAGTAGACTGGTTTTGCATATGGTGATTCAACATTATTCTTTCACCGTTCTTACAAAAGTAACATGATTTATATCCATGTGAACGAAAACTGAATGTCTTGTATATCCAATCCTGAGAATCCCAAAAGCAGTTGGAAATTAAATGCCCAGGATTTCCTGGATTTCAAAGGTTCTATTGTTGACATGATTTTGTGTTGTACAAGCGCAACTGACTCGTTTATATTCCCACGTTTTACTTATCCAATATTAATATATCTCAGTTTAAATTTGAATATCTTTTCATACCAATAGCGTTGGAAGTGATTTTAAAAACTCTAGTAAGGAATATGTTAGGAATGGTTTATTTCATGCATCTCCATCGTTAGACAAACAAAAAATGAAGATATCGAACGTGTACGAAAATGTGAACATGCAGCATGTGATCGGATGAAGTGATCAACTTCATACTTGATTTATATATGTCAGAAACAATTGATGAAATAAGTGAACAGTAGACGTGCACACAGACACCAGTTATAAAGAAATGTATATTTATGTGAATGAATGACTACGCCGACGAAAGTAAGTACAAAATCGATAGTAAGATTAACAGAAACACGATTATTACTCAGGTAACAGTTAAACCATAAACAAGTTCAACAAGCTTTTGCAGGCTTGGGTTTTCTGCAGGTGGGAGCTATCTTGACAATAACCGAATGTCCTCTTTAAACAGAGATCACTATTCAGTGATATATCAATAAATGCGAATTAAAACCCCAAACTGGATACTTTGATAGTTTACTCATTCTTTACTAAAAAATGTGTCGGAAACTGCTTACTTTCTTAACTAGTGTACGATGAAATTCAGGTAATTCTCCAAAAACAAGTGAAATGTAATCTGCGAAATGCATAATTCCATTGAAACCTGAATGAGCCTCTAACGCGTTCCATAATAAATCTAAGTTCTCTGTCTAAAAAAAGTTTTGGAATATTATTGATTAACTGACCATTAAAAGTAGTTTTAACAATAGTCTAATAAGATTATAAGAAGTAAAAATAAAGGAGTATGGTGAGTAAGATTTTATTAACATGGTTCTCTTTTATTATGACTCACTAACCAAGATTTATTCTTAATCATTTCGAAATTGTGTTCAATGAAGTTAACTTTATGAGAAACTAATGCATTAAATTATTGCACAGTAAATTATTATTATTATTATTATTATTATTATTATTATTATTACGGTATTTACTGTTAAATGGACAAGCAAAATATTGTTTATTTGATCTTGGATTATAAGCTTTGACCTAATGGTACGACAGCAGCAATCAGATTCCAAAATCAATGACGGATGGTTTGTAACTTGTTAAGAGCTATGTAAGAACTCACCATAACCTAGCAATATATCACTACTTCGATGGTGAAAATTAATGAACACAGCAAGGCTAAAGAATAGGCACAAACTTAAGTTATCCTTAGAATGACGATGGAAATTAATTCTTTTTGGGGGAAAAATGGTGAAAAGTGAATAGATTGAAAATACATGACATTTAACAGGATTATTAAATTTTATGAAGTAACCTCACACCCTTTTCAAACCCATGTAACCACTTGCACAAGTATCCACCATTATAAATACAAATCATTATCCTGCTTCAGCAATATTCTCTAACCCTGATTCCTTTTCTTCTACTCTAAGAAATAATTTACGTGAAAAGATTCATTAATCACACGAAAACTTGTTGTTCATTATAATTTTATCATAAGTTGGTTCCCATATAAGCTCTGTTTTCTGACTGATTGACGAGTTAATCAAGGTCGGTCACATAGTTGACTTCTTGATATGAAGCGGCATCCGAATTTACCAAACTACTAATGAATGTAATGCTTCTGGTAATCACTAAATATATCAATCTAACTCAATCAAAGAAACCGAAAAACGTGAATTTGTACGTCCACTGGGAATTATTAAAGTAATTCTTTTATGGTTGATATTTGACAGTTCTCTTATTTGGTCTGCTTGTAGGCATATATTCCAAGTGAGTTTTTATTTCGAATGAATCTTTATACGAAAAAAGTATCAGCATAGTGTTTTGTCATAAGCATACATACAGATAGGCTTCCTGTTTTCCAATCATTAGATTTTTGTCCGTCCAACGCTTATTTTCCAACTCTTACAACCTTCTGGTGAGTCTGGTGAAATTTCGGTGTTATCACTGTCTACTGCTTTGTGAACTATACGTCATGGTTTAATTATGGCGTTGATATAACAATACGATACCAATCCGGTATATATATATAAACACGTTGATGAAAAGAAATAAGAAATCATATACTGCATCACATATGCAAAAGTATCGAATTATCCTAAATTATGTAAAGTAAGCCGTATTTTAGAAAAGCGTCTCATCGGCAATTTTTTCAGTAAACGTTTGGTTAAGACAAACCAATTTCTTTAAGGATGAACAAAATTAAATAATTACAACTAACTTTGTCTAGTCCTGAAAGTCTAAACCATATTAAGCCATCCTCGAATATTTTACGAATTAACTGTTTCTTTATATTTAATTCGTCTTCTTTTGAAAGGTTATTGTTATTTTTAGTAGTAGTATCACCCATCAGCTGTTTGTTACTTTTTATATAGTTTCGGTAGTATAAATGTAAATTTAAGTAGGCTTCAATGGGACTATTACGTTTTCGTAACTCTTGACGCCATAAACCTATAAATGTGAAATAAACACTAAATGCTGACCAAATGCTTAAAAAAGGATTAGGAAGAAACAAAGGATAATAATCTCATCTGGATAAAGTATGAACAAACAAAAACGAAATTAATGTGTAGTAAAATACATCGCTTAAAATTCTGAATTAAAATATACAAAACTTATGCTAAATTATATGAAAATAATTATATACGGAACCCAAATTCGACACTGTATGAAAGTTTCCATAAACCGTTATACTGACCAGGGTTGAGGAAAGTCCTTTGAAGTTCTTGGTTATATGTATGGCTCCAAGCTAAATCGAATAAAATGTGGATTGTTTATTATTATCATTATTATTCGAACAGCATTTACAGTGGTACAGACTAAATGTAGGCCTTATGGATTTACGTCAGATGGTTGAAGGAAGATTTCCTTCTGACTGCCTCCAACGCCACAACATAAATATGTGGTGCACGCGATCTCGAGTCACTTGGACTAATGATCACATTCCAACTTAATCAATATAATTTGATTACAACTAATGGACTGGACAAATATGTCATTGATTACTACTCAGAGACCAATCGATGTAGGTTCTCTGTTTCAAATGCTAGCTTGTTTAGAAATTAGTGGATATGTTCATAAGCTATGTAGATCAAAAGCAATAAAAGTAAAATATATATGAGGGACATTATGTCATTTATATTCGACACTGATATCTCACTCTGACTAAATTTTATTTTTTAGCAAAACATTCTCCGCCAAGATAAATCTTTTCAAGTTATCATTGCATTTACTTTAAAACTTGACACATGTATTGATTCGAATCATCTAACCAAACTACTTGTAATAATGAAATGGACAATTGATTAGTCATATGGTAAAAGGCAATTCAGTATTTATTCTACGTTGAAGCTATCAGTTATACTTTGCAAATATTGCATTCTTATACTTGCAATAAAGTGGTCAGTAATAACGTCAGCAAAAGCGGTTATGCGAATAATGATGATAGATATATTTGTTTTATTCGTTAAATTACAGATCATAAAATCATTTGCTCGTACAATTCAAAATACTCACATTGTAATTTAAACAACTCCATCATATATCTCGGCCTGATTAATAAACGTGCGACATGAAGTTTTGCCATTACAGAAAACCACTGTTCTTTGGGTACCTTCTGTCTTGATAATTCTGATTCACTATGGCACAAAATATTTTTAAAAATGTAAAAAAAACAAATAAACATGGACGAACTGTTAGATAATCATCAAGGTGGTGTTTTAGCCTTTAATGTTCCTTGAAGTTTGTAGACCATAAAATATAACATGGCAGTTATAGAAAATAATAAATAACCATTATATTCTGCGTTAGGTCCTAATTGTCTGAAAATTATGACTGAAAACTATTGTGCCCACAAATATTTATCATCAAACCATATCAACACTGAAAAAATAAACGATGCTTAGAGAAATCAACCCTTATTTTTCAAGTATAATGATTGGTGAGCTTTATTAAGTGGGATTTAATACACAAATTCTTTCAAACCGCTACAAATGTCAATTTTAGTGAAGGAAAACTAGATAAAATTTTCTTTTACAAAACGATTATTTTAAAAAAGTAAAACGTTAAATGTTATAGTTAATATTTGATCATAAATATCTGCTTTTTTATCATCTTATACGTATTCTTGGTATTATACTTCTCGATACAAAATTATTTGAGGCGGTTGCCGCGTAGTAGGATTATTGGCTACAAGAAATAAAGAATAGTAACATTTCTGAGTTTAGTATTAATGTACTTAAGATAATTCATTGCTATGGTAAGTAAATGATAGATCAAATAATCCACTAGAAGTTCAGTACCCGGTGATGACCTTATTAGTTTTATTGGAAATTAGTTAAAGGTATCCAGTAAAGAAACTAGTTTAGCATCTCGTCATACACTAATCTTACAAGATCTCGAACACCCAACTAAATACATCATCCCTTCTAAACCGATTTTGTATTCCTCATCAACCAGATTTTAATGAAATATTTGGAGATATTACATCATTAGCATCTTATTCGTATTTTCGCCTACCAAACAAATGTCATCTTGCTAATACCTTAGTGACTAAACTCTATCAAAGTGCACTACGATGTCGAATAACTTAACTTCGTGACCTCTCTGAAATTAAATCAAAAGAATTCAACCGTTACTGGGAGCTAGATATCACGTTGGTTACTCCTCGTCTGTAGATTGCAGTGAACATCTGGGTTAACTGATTAATTTTTTAAACTGAACTTATTTAAAAGACATTGAACTTAATTTATAGACTCGATGTCACGTTTTTTTCTCAACACATTAAACTTACATTGCATTAAGTTTACTTAGTCGATCTACTCCAGTGATAAGAATGCGAAGAATATTTCCAGTGTGATGCAAAAACTGTTTTAATGGATTAGGTGGATTATGGTTATCTGAATAACGAATAAATAATATTGCTCCAGGGAAAAAATCAATTTCTGGTAAATACACCTGACCATTCCTTGCTCCCCATACACAGTGATACAATGATCGACGTAGAAATGGTAATGGTTTAGAACTAATGTAAAGTTATGTACAAAACAGTGAGAAAAAAACACTGGTTAATAATAATGAAATTCCAGTGGAACAATATAAATTATTTAAACTTAGAGTAAACCGATAGAGATGACATGAATTCTGTTTTTTAGAAGAAATGACTGAAAACGAATGAGACGATAGCGTAGTGTTCAAAAATTTAGACTTTAAGAGGATTGGTAGCAAGTGTAAGCACTTCTTATCTACATCATATAGAACTGTTGGATAGTGCTTACAAGAAACGTGTGATTTAAAGCTGAATCCATAAAACCTGTACCTGATAGCTAAATGACTTTTGCAAAGGAATGCGTTCTTATCGGAATCATGAGATGATCAAAGTTACAAACCATAGAGAATCAAATTTATTTAACATCATGTAGTTATAGACTATTACTTAAGTGTTGAACAGTTTCCGTCATTATTTTCAGTGATTTTTTAGTGCTAGTCTTCATTTAAACTCTACAACCCACTATCAACTGAAAATGTGATGAGATATTCAAAAGACATGTTATTTGTTTGCTAATAAAACCTTTAGTGGAAGTCAAAACTGATTCGTACTGAGTTAGCGCGAATTTCTGTGTACCAGCATAATTACTCATATACCAGACGGAGGTAAACACTAAAAGAAGCAAATACGCTGTTTACTCATTTTTACAAATCAATTATCACATTATTCTAATTTTATCATTCATTCTTATTTCGTACTTATGTGGTTACCCCATATTTATAGCTCAATTGCTTAAACAGACAAATTTCAAGCTCGCTTCCACACACATTGGCTTAGTATATCAATGATTATTTTTGCTTTATGACAAATGGCGATGGCAATCCATCATTACCTTATTAACGTTTTGGGTACTTATTCAGTTAAAAAGCAAATAATTAGTGTCCTCACAGATGATTCTTTACTCCTAAAAAGTAGGTGTCTGTAAATCACTGATACTCGCTATCCTGACAAAGATTTTGCACATTTCGGGTCACATCCATCGACGATGTATTTTGACTTCAATGAGTGCACTGTCTATTAAACTTAAAAAAACATGGTCAGTTTTTCAGCAGACTAATGATGCACTGATATAGAATAAACATTGTCAAAATTCACAGTTTGAAAGTGAGGATTAAAAAGATGAATCACACACAAATGTTCAGTCTTATTGAAAATCGAAAGGTTCAAATTAATTTTTAATCTATTCTGTTAGTGGGATTAACAATACAGATTTACAAGCTATACTATGTACATCACATAAAAATCTCTCTCAATAGATTAAACAAAAGGACACTTTTTTAAATCCTAAATAATAATATTTCAAAGAGATAGCTAACCTAACTCCTATCTTATGATCTTCATATAAGGCCCATGTAGAATCATTTGGAAAGGCTATTCCAATGAATTTACGTAAAGCAAATGAAGATAATGAATTAGTCCAATCCATATCGCTTGTCTGTCTAAATTGTTTTTCATTTGATATATCATCCATATTGAACACAAGGAGACGTGCAGTAAACCAAATTCTATTTTTGAAATTAGTTTGAACATCATTAATAATTTTTAAATGATCTAAATACTGATTGCTTGGTCTGTGCATAGAAGAAAATAAAATAAAGTAAACGAAATGAACTAAAATTTCACTTTTGGATTTAAATATATTGATAAATGAATGTATATTACTCTGACCAGTTCTCACTTATTTTAACGTTGAGCGAAATATCTCCCCTTTTTAAAAAGACTTAGTGTTTTCTTATGCTCAGTGATTTCAACTGTACTTAATGTATGGGTAGATTTCACTAACAGAAATGACCACATGTAATTACTGTGGGAAAACTGCTGAGAAAGTACTGATATCATCAAATTAAATGGTAAGGACTTTGATTTCCTGAATAACTATGCGAAGCTAACTACAGAATTAGGGTTGAACTTTATGATGTTTTGTAGACTGAAAAATGCATAGATACATAGAACTGATATCAATTTTGTAAACCTGATATTAAGTTCGATAAAAAGAGTATATTCTTCTCGGTAGTGACATGGTACGAAAACGTTTACATAGCATATCTTTTCGACTTAAATCTGAAGTTCATATAACTTTCAAGGTGGTGATTAATTTTACTGATAATAATAATGCAACTTACAAACAATAATCTCACCAGAAAACGTTATATAGAACTGTAGTGGCTGTGCTTCTATAATTAATCACCCTCGAACCGTTATCGTATAATCTTCAACGATGTTTGAAATCAGAAGGCAAAGAGAAGCAGCTACTACAGTTTATTTAGTAGATAATTCGGACCAGACAGCAGAGAGGCAAAATGAATGAGCAAGCGAACTACGATTGTAACAGTAGAAAGTAGCTGTAGTAGTAGTAGTAGTAGTTGTTGTTGTAGTAAATGGGTGCAAATGTACACATATATATATATGTATAGGAAAATGGATGAGTCAGCGAATAGATTAAGCAGTTAATAATGAAGCTAGCAGAATGAATACATGCGTAGGCGCTAAACAATGTTCAAGCGTATGTATTTCATACAAGCATAATAATAAAGATAGTACAACAAGTTGTTATATCATGGATGACTTTGTCCACTAAATAAGTTAACAAAAAGGGCTTAACTGGGTTAAATGAAAATAAACCCATTAGCACGTGAGTCGCTATAATAGCTCCCCCCTGCAAACAAAGATATATGGAAAAATGTCTGTGTTTGCACAAAAAATAGCAAACTGAGTAGGGTAGTTACAATCGTTTGAAACAAAATGGTTTGTACAAAATTAAGATGAAGTTGGTGTGTGCTGTACATTTGATTTGCGCCTGTCCGTGAGGTTACATAAAATAATATCAAGAAATAGAAGGAAAGCGCTATTGTCTTTACATTTTAAACAAAAATTATACGCATAAGTGTAAGGGTACATAAGATACGTTGAGTTTTATCGCGCATAACATGAGCTTAATAATGCATGCGTATACGATGAGGTAGAAGTTATAATTAATATTTAAAATAGTAGATTATTATTAATAGAAAATTGTAGCGAAATAATGTTGGGGCCATCTTACTCTGCGGCCGGATCTTGTTGTTATCGGAGTCTTGTCTTTTTGTTGCGTTAACGTTGTTGATTTTTGGGACTCGTGTTTCGCTGGTGTGACCATCTTAGATGAGTCTGTACTTGTTGATTGATTATCGCTATCGATGAAAGCTGGCTTTACTCGATCGATGCTAATTACATCTGTCTTCCCAGCTTTTTCTATGGTAACCGTTTTATTTGTCCTCTCTATCACTTTAAATGGTCCGTCGTAACTCGGTTGAAGAGGTGGTTGTACTTTATCTCTTCTAATGAATACGTGAGAGCTGTTATGCAGTTCCTGTGGTATGAATACCCGTCGTTGTTGTGGTCTGGGAGGTGTTATTTTTAAATCGCTCATGTGCTTTCTCAGGCGTTGCACATAGCCGGTTACATCAGTCGGGACATTTTTACTTGAAGTGAAGAATTCTCCGGGTAATCGTAGAGTAGTTCCGTAAACTAACTCGGCTGGACAACACCCCATGTCTTGTTTAATTGTTGCTCTTAGGGCTAACATTACTAGGGGAAGTTTATTAGACCAATCGTTGTTAACGATGACGGCTGTAAGGGACGCTTTTAATTGCCTATGTAGGCGTTCAACCATTCCGTTTGCGATTGGATGGTACGACGTCGTTCGGATTCGTTTATTACCGAGGAGTTCAGTAAGCTGCTGAAAGAGTCGACTTTCGAATTGTGCTCCTCTATCCGTTGTGATAATCGTTGGTACACCGTAGTAAGAAATCCAATTTTCAACTAGGGTTTTAGCTACCGTTTCAGCTGAGGTGTCTTTTATCGGCACTGCTACCGGCCATCGTGTAAACCTATCGATGCATGTAAAGATATAGTTGTATCCATTTGAAACGGGCAGTGGTCCTACAATATCGATGTGTATATGTTCAAATCTAGTGTCTGGGTGCGAAAACGGACCTACTGCAGAGCTAGTATGACGATGTACCTTCACTTTTTGGCACTTCATGCATGCTTGTGTCCAATTACGTACATCGTGATTCATGTTTGTCCATACGAATCGTTCACTAATCAGCTTTATCGTGGCTTTTATTCCTGGGTGCGACATGTTGTGCATGCTTTCGAATATTTTGTGTCGCAACGTTTTCGGGATAAATGGTCGCTGTCGGCCTGTTGATGTATCGCAAATTACTTTCGTGTTACCAAACCGCGCCTCTTCGAGTACTAATGATGTTGAACCTCCGGATCTGAGTTTATTTAGCTCGATGTCTCTCTCCTGCAACTTTGCTAGACCGTTATAATCAATTCCACTTGCCATAAGTGTGCTTATCGTTGCTCGTGACAATGCGTTGGCCACATCGTTTTCTTGTCCTTTAACGTACTGTATGTCGGACGTGAACTGTGAAATGAACTCTAGTTGTCGGATCTCTCTCGGGGAATAATTGTCTTGCTTTGCGCTTAATGCTTTCGTTAGCGGTTTGTGGTCTGTATAGACGGTAAAACTTATGCCCTCAACCATATGACGGAAGTGTTTTATTGCTAAGTAGATTGCTAACAATTCTCTTCCAAACGTACTATATCTCGTTTGGGTAGGATTTAATCTTTTCGAGAAAAATGAAAGCGGTTCCCATATGCCATTTACTAATTGTTGTAAAACGGCTCCTACCGCTACGTCTGATGCATCCGTCATGATAGCTAACGGTGTTTCGCTCTTTCGTCTAGTTAGTGTCACTTCTTTATTTAGTGCTTTTTTAGCGTTCTCGAATGCTTGAATCGCGTCTGGTGATAATTGGAATGTCCGTGCGTTTCCGCGTAATGCATCTGTTAGTGGTTGCAATATTGACGCGCAATTCGGGATAAATCGTCTGTAATAATTTATTAACCCGAGAAATCGGCGTAACTTTTTCCATGAGTCGGGTAGGGGATAATTTTTGATGGCGTCGACTTCTGTTGCTATTGGTGTGATGCCTTGAGAAGTTATATTGTGACCTAGGAACTGTAAAGATTCCTTTCCGAATTCACACTTCTCAATATTTATAGAAATACCATGTTCTCTGAGTCGTATAAATAATTGCCGTAGTTGTTGTATATGCTCATCTTTAGTGGTGCTAGCTACTAATAAATCGTCGATATACGCGTATACTCCAGGTAAACCTCTAATGACCTGGTCGATAAACCGTTGAAAGGTTTGTGCTGCGTTAGTCAGTCCAAAAGGCATACGCAGGAATTCATATAGCCCAAATGGGGTTGTTACTGCTGTCTTCGGTATGTCTTGTGGGGCAACAGGGATGTGGTAGTATGCTCTGACTAAGTCGATCTTCGAGAAGATAGTGGTGCCCTCAATACTGTAGGTGAAATCATGGATGTGCGGTATAGGGTATCTGTCAGCTACGGTTTGTTTGTTCAGTGCTCTGTAATCTCCACATGGCCTAACCTCTCCATTCTTTTTCGGGGCCATATGTAGCGGGGATGCCCACGGGCTGCTCGATGGCCTTATAATGCCTAGCTTCGTTAGCTTGTCGAATTCCTGTTTTGCGATGGCTAGTCTTTCGGGATCTAACCTTCTTGGTCTTGCTTTGATTGGTGGACCATTCGTTACGATGTGATGCTGAATAGAATGTTTGAGATCCGCTTTATTGTATGTTATTTTTACGAGTTCAGGGAACTCCCTTAACAACAATTTATATGGATCACCACGACTTTTATCTATCACAAGGTTCATTGAAACGGCTTCCGTAAGTATTCCTCTTATCGAAGTGGTTTGACTGCCGTTTATAAGTCTGTGTCGTCTCGAGTCTACTAGCAGGTCAAAGTTACATAAGAAATCTATGCCTATTATGGGCATCGATACGTCTGCTATGACAAAGTTCCAACGGTATGAAGCGCCACGTCCAAAATCTAGGAACAATTTCCGTTTACCATATGTCTTAATATCTGATTTGTTTGCTGCTCTTAGCACTAATGACGGATTAATGTTTTTTCTTTCCTCGTTAAATGGAGGTACTACGCTAATTTCCGCTCCAGTGTCAACTAAGAATTGTGCGCCAGTGGTTCGGTCTTGTATATAGAAGAGGCGACTATTTTCAGGCATTATGTGCGTTGATGCCGTTGCCATTGATACTCGTGGGTATCGGTTACTAGCCCTGTTAAATCTACAAGGTTGTAGGCACTTTCTAGCCCTGTAGCCAAACATTTGATGATACCAACATATCGCGGGAGTTGTGCGTCGTCTAGAAGTTGACCGGGTCCTTTCACGCGAGCGATCTCGCGATGACCTTCGTGGTTTTTCTCTCTGCGTTAATTCTGTGAGTTTGCGGCATAAAACATTTATTTCCTTCTGTAGAGTATCAAGTCTATCGTCTACCGTCACGTTGTGTAGTGGAGGGCTTGCTTGCTTGCTTCTTTCGTATATTCTATCGGCTATCTTTGCTATATTGTCTAAATCAGCATCCGTATCTCCCACAGCTAGAATTTGCTGTATATTTGCCGGGAGCCGGCGGAGCCACAGCTGATAAAAGAGATTATTGTCAATGTGTCTATCGCCAAGTAGACTTTTCATATAATTTTTTAGCTGTGATGGGGTTCTATCTCCAATTTGTACTTGGCTAAGGAGTTGTTCGACGGCTTGTTGGTCACTGAGAGAGAGAGTTTTAATTACTGCTTCTTTTAGCACGTCGTATGGTTTTTCTGTGTCTGGTTTTGCTAGTGCCTCTCGAACGCTGTCAGCTACTTCGTCTGGGAGTAGTGTGCTTGTCAGGCCGAACTTATCCTTTTGCAAAAAAATGCGGTTAGCGAGAAAATAATTTTCAAGTCTTATAAACCAGAGTTTTGGGTCTGTTATTTTAAAAGAAGGGGCAGGGAGGTTAAGAGACCTCACGGACGAGGCTTGCTGTACGCTTGAAACTGTGTTTTCATAAGACATGCTTATAAAAATTAAGTAGCACACGAAAATAACTTAACAGTCACAAGGAAGAATAGATGGGCAAAACAATGATCATAAAAAAATGGCACAATTTATAAAATGGAACAGACTTACTAAATTGCACCAATATATCAATTGTTTATGGATAATTGTTATTTATTATGATTATAATCGTCACGTTTAATAATGTTTGCGAAATAATGTAAGTTTAATTAAAATAATAATATAAATCCACAGTTGTAATTATAGTTCATTTGATAATCCAAATTGAGATGAAAAGAATCGGATTTTTGAGATTTGATTATTTCGCCAAAATTCGCTTTCCGTTCTCACGTCGGGATTACCAATTCTGTAGTGGCTGTGCTTCTATAATTAATCACCCTCGAACCGTTATCGTATAATCTTCAACGATGTTTGAAATCAGAAGGCAAAGAGAAGCAGCTACTACAGTTTATTTAGTAGATAATTCGGACCAGACAGCAGAGAGGCAAAATGAATGAGCAAGCGAACTACGATTGTAACAGTAGAAAGTAGCTGTAGTAGTAGTAGTAGTAGTTGTTGTTGTAGTAAATGGGTGCAAATGTACACATATATATATATGTATAGGAAAATGGATGAGTCAGCGAATAGATTAAGCAGTTAATAATGAAGCTAGCAGAATGAATACATGCGTAGGCGCTAAACAATGTTCAAGCGTATGTATTTCATACAAGCATAATAATAAAGATAGTACAACAAGTTGTTATATCATGGATGACTTTGTCCACTAAATAAGTTAACAAAAAGGGCTTAACTGGGTTAAATGAAAATAAACCCATTAGCACGTGAGTCGCTATAGAACTTATCAATTGTTAGTTTACTGAGAAAAACTTAAATTAGATTGACTATGAATAGCTGAAAAAAATGATTACCTTCAAGTGAAGATTGTTTTCACCATAGACTGACTTCAACTAAAAACCAATGTGCACTAGAAAGCTGTTTAGCTCTAATATGGGACTAACCAGAGGTGTGTAAGCACAACCTTACAGGAGTGTGAACTTGAGACCCTTGGATCATGTGGTACGATACTTGCCGATCACGTCAGGACTGAGACATACCACCGATAGCAAAAGTGCTAATCAAACCATATTGTAAACTGATTGAAGTTGGAATGGACACTATTGGATCCTGATACAATACCCAAAAATTAGGCCCAAAAGCCGGGTCTTCCGCCAATCGCCTATGACATTTTATCATGTTCATGTTCTTATCTTGTATACAAACATGATATTTTATTACATGAAATTATATTCACTTGGCCAGTGGTTTTGTCTTTCATTGTTATTCATTCGGAGGCTCGAGTTTCTTGTGAACAGCCATCACTTAGCCACATCAAATCACTGGGCCCATCTATAGATTAGCGGTTTGTTCCCCCATAAAAAACCTAATTCAATGACTTCGCATTGACCGTGAGATCATGGGTTCCTAAATCCCATCATGTGTGGAGCCATGGATTCAAAAACCAGAAGGAAACAGCTGTTGCGTAATTTTAGCAAACCATGTATGTAATACACACAGATAGGATCAACACAGAATTTAGAAAAGATGTATGTTGGTCAAAGTGGCCACACTACATTAGCACGACGAGTTGAAAAGAACAGAAAGAATATAGTGTAGTAAAAACGACTGAAGGGAAGAATAAATTTTGGGAACAGTTTGAAAAGACAGACGAAAAAGATATGTAGGAAGAGTTACTGCAACTTAAAATCTTGTTCAACATCTATAATAAAACACGATAGACCCTAACTAACTCTTAATCACTGCGTACGATATAAAGACTTTTCTAAACTAAATATCACTGTTGTCTATCAAACGCTTTGACCACAAACTGAATGTGTAGTTAGCAAATTGAACGATTATTTTTGCGTATTGTTACGACTAACATTCAAATAACGCAGTTACATTGGAAAATTACTTTTGCAAATCCTCAGTCTTATCATACAATCACTTGTACACGAAAGTACTAGTTGATTTCTGGGACAGAAACATTGTAAACCTAAATATATTACTAAGGATATTGCTGTAAAAATTACTTATTCTCGTACGTCACTCTAGATTTAAAGATCCTTACCAATAAACGGAGTTAAAAAGCAGCCATAAAGGTTAGTTAATTTTAATTTCATTGCATTTTTCCATGACTCCCAGTTTCATACATTCATCTTGAGTGATAATAACGTTGAATGACTTTTAAAGTTATCCTTTCTCAGATAAATGCTTACTTTTATCAGCATTCACTAAAACTGGTATGACTTAATTCCTATCTTACATGGGTAAAATGAAGTTCCGAAAAATAAAGGTAACTAAGAAACAGAAGAATAAATTAATACCTTGAAAGACCTGGTGCCTGACGGATTGAGTAGTCAATCAACTGCTTAGGTGTAACCATACTACTGAAACTACGTGATGTTTGATTTCTTGGAGTGGTATTCTACGACTGAGTTATCAAAAAATGTAATGTCGTCTACCTCGCATTCAGGGGCTTTACAAGCTGATTCTTTTCGCCACAGTTTTTCGAGATCGGAACACATGCGCTGAGTAATATCGCCACATGACGAAGATAAATCTTCATCGTTATCCTTTCTTGAATGTCTTAAATACTAAATAACCACCTACCTCAGAAGTGCGTACTACTTCTCTGCTTTCCGTGTTGTTGAAAGACGTCTGAAATGTAAACAACCGAAATGATATCTTACTAATGGCAGATGTGTTGCCCAAGGTGGATATACAGCTGGACGTATAGACAAATTACGACTTGAGTTTTCCGACGATTCTGTTCCCCAGCTGATTGTTGAATCTGAGCGGGCGGAATATTCCCCTCCTTTGGCAACAGTATACAATGGTTCATCCTCAGAGCTTGGACAATTATCTAAGCACAAACTTGGAACACTTTGGCGATAGCCAATTTCTACAACATACCTGGTGCTAGCTGTTTCTCCTTCTCTCATGGTGTAATTTAACACCTGACACCAAAATTAAGAAAAATTATACCTATTACAAAGTTCTCACTAGATTAGAAATCCTAAGGAATTTAACACTGTTTTATGTAAACTGAATAAAACGTTCTTGAAAACTAATTCAAGTCAATTCTTAGTAAATACATGAAACAATACAATTAAAGTAAAATTCGTTACTCTACATTGAGATATTAAAAACCAAAAATACATATACCAGTGGTTATTGTAAAACAAGCATAAAACCTCTCGACTAAGTAACAAGCCTAACTTCTTAGATATGGGAAATAGGATCAGATAAAAAGCGTGTTACGATTATTTTAAGACAGCCATCATAAACGGTTGTAATGGTTGTAGAGATCTTAAGTTGCTCTTCAAGTTCACTACTTGACATTGTCCGGAATGAATATCAACAAAAAATATACGTGGGTTAATTTTCCATACTTAATTTCTCGATGGTGTCAAATTGCACATCACAGAATGAATTTCAGTAACTAAAAAACCGAAATTATATTTCCACGTTTGTAAATCCTCTGACAAAACCGCTCAATCTACTAATTTCAACTAAATGTTTTTAGCCCCGCCAACTATTCCAAGTGGTTTCACTTTTCTTTTTCACTGGCATGTGCGCTGGATGAAAATGAAAACTTGAATGAATAATTTATGCCACAAAGTTTCAGAATGTCGACCTTTCATATGAAGTTAATCTAAATGCACCAAAAAGCATAACGTCGAGTCAATACTTATCTTTGTTTTGTACTCAATCAACTGGTTCCTAACAGACCATCTGGCTAACTTTATGGTACTCATCAACACGAATACTATAATCGATTAGACCCCTGACTGACACAAACTAAGTAGCTTTACTAGTAATATATGTTTGTGCGAAATGTTATGAGTCTCACTTCAGAATGTAAAGACTGATTGGATAAATCATGTTGCGTGATGCTCATAATTACTGTCATCAATTATAAAAGAATCTATTTCTCCGTAAGACTGAAACAAATAAACTTCAAACTATTTCAAAAATGATCATGAAGATTGACTAAATCTTTAATTTAATTCCCTTGAAATAAAAGGGTGTTCAGTCTAAAATTTCCAACCCAAAAGTACTATTTTTAAGCCCAAAAGGTCCGAATCGGTACAATGACTCGATGCTCAACATTAATTGACTTTCTTTTACACAGGTTGATAGCCAGATAGGCTGCACCTTGTGTTGGTTAGATAGCTTTAAATATATAAAGATGCTGTCTTCGTAGTAATATAGCGACTGTGATAACCGGGCGTATTTTATTAAAGGAGTGAAAAGATACCAACTTTACCCCGATCTATAAAAAGCAATCCATACGGTGTCAACCTATGAGCCGATTTCCAGAAAAATTGATTGAAAGCATCATAATTAGAAACATATCCCCTTTAGATTGCTCATAGCGCGTTTCAAAAGGTTGCCTACTAACTGCTGAGAAAGAGAAGACAAGAAACAAAGAAATACAAACTGGTCATAATGAACCGTATCTGGAAAAGCATTGCGTTGGCCTTCAGTTCCGGAACACTATGATAGTTAAGAAGTATTATGATATTGGACAAGAGCACTTACACTCTTATTTACATAAACAGTGTAGTCGAAATAAGAATGCAGTAGAATACTGTAAATTCATTTCTGAGAACCGACTCAAATCTGCTATAAACAGTCCAAATAGCCTTCACGTAAGATTCTAGAGATGCATAGGTTAACTTAGGACACAATCTGGACATGAGAAATAGTGGAAGATGACTTTGAACATGACACATTCCCTTTTTTATTCTAATCAGGTTAGAATAACCCAGAAGATACAGTGGCTATGCTTACTAGCAGGCAATAAACCTAATCTCAGTAAAGTACAGGTATGTGGCCAAGTCACAGACACCTGAAACATGATACCAGAAAAAGTATCGTTGTTGATTCATTGTAAAGATTAGACATGGACAGTAGTTTATCAGGAAAAGACTAATATTATCACTCAGCCCCTTGTTTTTAGTCGAAAAAAGTGCAGCCTAAATGATGCGTTGATGAATTTGATCTTTAAGAATGCCCTTCAATTCATAAAACAAATATCACTTGGCTACTTTAATTAATATATAAGTCAAGGTTTTTAAAAATTGTCACAACCAGTCTGAGTATCGATAAATATAACTGATTGCCACTTGTTGTTATCGATACACTGACACAAATTTTATCCTGACATATTATCTATTATACCTCAAGAATTTATTAATGACTTAATAAAGCAACATTTACTTGCCATTATTTACTCCATTTGGATCAAACGACGATGTTAATGCTGAACTGCAAATATGCAACAAGAAGTGCAACGAATGTATGGAAAAAAAATAGATTTCGGTGATACACCAACTTAGTGAATAATAATGTGACTCACTTTTCATGAATTATTTAATAAATACAAGAAGTGGATAGGCAAACATTTACTACCATGCACACGTGTATAAAAACGACCAGAGTAACATGTTCGTAATCTTTGATATGTAAGTAACGAGTTGATTAAAAACATTAGAATAATTCATTCGCCCAAATGTAAAAATAAATCACGCAGACAATTTATAATAATAATACTATTAGTTTTTTAAAGTAACCAGAGTCAGTTAGAAACAGTATATAGTTAAGTTCACCCCATCCAATCCATCGTTCCTCTACTGCATCCCTGACAGATTTTTAAGGCAACCTAAGTGTTACATTTGGTGGAAGTTTAACAGCTATGTATACTACAGCTACATATACTCAGCCTTACAGAAACAATTTAACCCCAACTATACGAATTCATAGTAAAACTTAATAATTCATTAAAGACGGTTCCCATAGTCCCAGCAATTCTGAAAGGTCGATTTTATCGAAGTCACATGTGGACGCATAAACAGAACGTGCGTATGCACTGAAGAACTGGAATAAGATAAAGATCCAGTGCCTTATTTTCATTAATGTTCAGAGTGAGGTAGATTTGAGTCAAACCTAAAGTTAAGTTTTGTGATGGAGTAGTGTGGAGAGCACAATGAGTAAGACGATCTGGAACCGAAGACAACTGAATGGAATGTAAGTCAATTACAAAAACAAAACGTGCAATTCAATTGCATTTATGGTGTAAGTGAATGATAAAATTTAGAAATAGCACAGCAGTTAGACTAAGAAACCTGGGAATCGAAACAAGATGTAAAGGAGAATTTCGAATGTGTAACATTCACAACGTGAAAGGAACCCTAAGTTACTATGGTATCCAATGTATGGTAAACATATAACCAAGTCTTGACATTATAATCAAAGTGTCTATTTTGTTCTTATTATATTTTGAAGTATAATATCAATTTGTCCGCAAAATGGTTTTGTTTGTATGAGTCGACAATAATTTGTATTGTCATAGCAACGATCCTAGTTTTTAAAAGCAGTCATTTAAGCAAAATACAGTTCGTATTTCCATTATATAATTTATTCCTTAAACTATCTACATACAACCATGTCTGAACTTGCATTAGATGACAAAAGGGCAGAGTTTATTGCTGAGTATATTCTGACGTCACATAAACTTAAAAATGATAAGTGGATGAAATTGTGGAATACCGATGATATTAAACAAAAAATCACCAATTTCTTTGAAAAACCTGATGTCACACAACTTTTCATTCTTTTGATGCCGAGTGGCTTTTTGACGGCCGAAAATGATTTTCCTGTTGGGTCCAAATCCAAAGCTAGCTTTTTTATGAAGAAGTCAAAAGAGGCTATTCCTAAAGATGGGGTCATAACGAAATATATCTTCTACGGTGATCTTTCATACAGTCCTTTAGATCATTTTTCGGTGTTCGTTGACGAAGTAAGTAAACTATCCTAACTGTTCATATTTCTTAGGTGCTTGTCCCTGTTTTGTCTAACAAGAAAAACTACAGTTCTTGGCCATCTGTTGTTTATGAGGATGTCATAAAATATGCACACGGTCTGAAAAGACAAACGGATATTGTCGTTGGGCAGGCAAAAGGAAAAACATTTTTACCTCTACCGATTGAACAAGAGCGGTTAAAGGAGCATGTTAAAGAAGGGTAGATATTTGTTCATTAAATCTCATTTTTATCTGCATGTAAAAACATAATCTCAGCGCTTTGGCCGTTAAATCCTTTCTTAAGCGATGAGATCAGTAGTAGCGCAGTACTTATTTATTGTACGGTATATCGCTCACTTAATTTTTATTTATGTATCCTTACCTTTTTCCATATCCATTAAGTTCCAAATTTTTTAGGGCTGAATAATCTTTGAGTCGATATTGGTAGTTGACAGCAATTTATGGATTAATATTACGTTCCACTTACAGTTGTAATCTGATATGCACCACAAATTTAGTTTTTTTATTCAGATATATCACGAAAGCCTCTTAGACGGTTTTGTGCTTTTGTTGTCGTGTTCTTTCATCGCGTATAAAATATTTCATTCATAACGCAGAGCGAATTCGGCATGTGTTGTATGATTAGCGATTAAACATTACTTGATAATATCACAGCCTTACTACAAAGGTGTCATGTTATTCCAAACCAATGAACCTATTAGTAAAGTTTGTGATATTATACATATTATACCTAGAATCATATCAAATTTTTAACTATCTGTAGTGGTTAACTATAAATTTCACAACATTTGTCGGGTTGTTTAAGGCATCAGCTTCCTTACCGATGCATACAAGATTTTAAAGTTATTAGGTACCGACCAAATGTGATTTGACACTAACTGACTTACAGTGAAGATGTTATAATCTATCATTTATCACTGTTGTTGAAAAATACATGTGTATCTACCGATTCACACTGATTGTTCCGTGTTTTTTACTTCATTTTTATCCCTATTTTCTGTATTATTGCAGCTTGATTTTGTTGACTCCTGGAGAAGATATTTTGTTTTATGTATCTCTCTGTCAACTTTCACTTTTAACCAGAAGTATCTTACATCAACTAGACTAAATGTTAACTTAAATACTTTAATAAATGCCTTCACTGCCATGCTAGTTGTTACTGTTTGTGTATTTTGACTAGTATTTACCGTTTTTCCTCATTTGCCAAAGTAAGTCATGAAGTGAGCTCAGTAGTTTGCTCTTTTTCTCTTGTGTAAGACAGTAAGTAAATGGCCAGTGGGACCTGGAGATTCGCAAACAGTTTCAAATTCTACACTCATTAAGGCTTTCTGATTCACAAGATTTTAGATCATTATCTGAATTGAGGCACAAACTGTTTTGTCTTCCGGTTGTAAATCATAAATATTAGGCTTCCACTCTAGAACGTCAATACACTGAGTTACGTGCACTTGTGCATTATTTTACCGTTTCGTTGAACGCTTTTATTCTCACAAATATTTTGTGGTTAAATTCGGCAAAACACTAGGTAATTAAAAGAGGTGGAACTAAAAAGGGTTTTACAAAGTATAAATAAGTTGTTTGCGTTTGAATTACCATTTACTAAAATCTTACAAAGCTTTTATATTGAAGCCAAACTTCCGTTGTATTACATAAATACCTCACTAATTTATTTGTTTTAATAAATCCTTTTAGATTAAATGAACCATATTCCCCAGTATTCAGTTACCATCGACTTATTAGAGACTAACTCAAATAGTTATTGACCTCAACTACTGTTTCTTACAATTAAACATCAACTCATGTGTTTAAAAAGAACCCATCAATTACCGTTTTTTTTACTGTTCATCCTCTAGTAAGGTTAATCGAAGTTTTATATATGCTATCGAATCACTTGTCATTGACTGGTCACATCAAATCCACAAAGTATTGCTAAGGGACTCATCTCAACCATTATTAAGTGGATTACATCCCACTCCATTGGTGGAACTGGACTTTTGGAAGGCAAAAGTAGCAAATCTTGAAAACATCTATTCTCAGTTATGTACACCAAAAGTCAAACAAATGGCGCAAATTTTAGAGCAGGCTAATAGTAGCTACTTTGTTCCATTTAAAGAAATGTTTAAATCTATTGTAACAGGTTAGTTTGTGTTTCTATAATAGAATTTACCATAACTTTGCTAATAAATTGATGTTTCACAAGTAAATTTATTTCAGTAAATTTATTGTGACACGATAAATTTCGTTAGGTTGATGGGTTTAACAAAACGACATATTCCAGTGCAGGATTTTATCCTCTTACTAATGTTAGGGGGAGAGCTGCAAGTAATGAAATCTTGGACGTGCTGATCTCTCCGTGTGCTGGAGGTGCTGCAATGTGTTTCACTGTTCTGAATAGAGTTTGTGAGTCATTAGGTTGTCACTGTTATATTTTACTATTTGGTCAGTATGGATTAGGCTGATATATAAGTGAGTTCCGCGTTTTCTAATATTGGTTCTGATGACCGCTACAATATGAGAAACTGTAAACAAATTTAATTCAAAACAGGGAAGCACATTTTATGGTGTGCGCTGCTTATGAGAACAGACCTAAGAAATATGTGGCAAGAACTCGAAGTGGAACACTTACCTGAAGAAGATTGAAATGAAGATAAGAGGAAGGGAAACAGAGAGCAATCGGAATAACAACAGAATTGAAAGAAGGATGGAGTACGCAAAGGGCAACTCAGCGAAAATATACAAATGATTTATCCGATGTATGATTTTCATATTTTATAAAGACACTGTGTACTTTTTCATGATATGATATATTGATCTACCGTATCTAAGTTTGCGTGCACTGCAATCGCAGCACCCTCAGTTCACGGAGAATTGAAAAGAGGCAACTAACAGATGCATTTTTAGAAGTGATCACCCACTAAACTTCATCAAGAATTTTTTAAAACCAATCACCGAGTATAAAATTAAAAGTTAAAATCAGAAGACAAAGCACATCTTACAGAAGCCAAACATGGTAATAGCGTTGCTAGGATTAGGTGTAGCTTAAAATTCGATGAAGTCGATACAGTCTATACCATTCAAGCCAAGAAATACAGTGACAAACAAAAACAAACCAAATATAATTCACGAGATAAACTGCATCAACTACAAAAAAGCTCAACATAACTCACAGTGGTTTTTCTCACCTGCTACATTTAAATAAACGCCATCTAATTATTAAACGACACTGAACACCCTTGCTTATATCAACGCGTGTGGAAACTTATGGAAATGGGTTCAACCGGGAAGACGTAGTAGTATTTGGTCTATGAATTGCAAAGAAAACCAGACAATTTTCAGAAGTCTGGCAACCCAGTCAATCATCAGTCAGTAGACACAGAAATTGATTCAGTCTATTAACCAAGACGAAAAAGGACTAACAACTACGGGATCAAAAAATCAGGTTAGAGGATAAAACAACTAAAATAAATGTGCAAACAATGGTCACACAATTATGGATAACAACCAGCCGAATTCCAGGTAAAGAGATTAGTTAATTACAAAGAAATTCTAGCAGGTCATTTGATGAAATATAGGCTGATTGTGTCTTCCAAAAAGACGATTACAGATTAGCGATAAAACTATGTAGTTTAGTAGGAAAGACACTTTTTAAATCCTTATTCCTGAGACATAAATACTTTTTGCCATCTCAAAATGTAGTATTACTTTGTGGGCCGTTATGGACACCTTTATTATAGATACTGATAGTTCTATACACATTTCAAAGGAGACGATTAATCTCTTGTCCTTTTAAACAACTGTTTTGCAATATTTTGCTACTGATCACCATGATTATTGTATTTTATCACTCTATTATAGTAAATACCTTTCTCTCATCATCAGTCCTTCACATAACATTTCACATCGAGAATACTCGACTAATTAGTAGTTATTAATCAGGTCAATTCAGTTATAACAACAGTTTTTAACTTTTCTCACCGGTGGTTGTTGTTTCAATAACCTTAAATTTAATATCATTCTATTATAGCTTTACGTGAAGCACAAGATATTGACATGCATTTAACTATGATGCGTACAAGATTAGAAGACATGGAACAAGCTGAATTCGACCAGTTATCACAACATATTGAACCTATTTTTGATTTAATCTGTTTAGTATGGGCTAGTTCTAAAGGCTACCGACAACCAGCAAGAATACTAGTTCTTTTACAAGAATTATGTAATTTAATGATTAATCAAGTGAGATAATTATTGAAATAATTTTGAATGGTTATTTATTGGTAGTTTAAATGTAAGAATTTAGAATGCGATTCATATATTTGTTAAAATCTGCCATAAAAATACAACTATCTGGTTACATATATTCTATGGGTTA